AACCTAGAAACTTACAGCCACTTGTGAAAGAGATGTACTTTTGCTCTGGGGAGTGTTACTGAATATGTTAAAGCTGTAGTGAAAAGCTTCTAATCATGTAGTTATTAAAAATTTTAAAAAGTATAATGATTAAAAAATAATTCTTCAAAGTATAAAAATTTGCTCCTTAATAATTAGTAGATGTGAAAAGCATTATCATTGATATCTACCTGATGATTTTACAGCCATGCTCAGATGCCAAGGAGCTCAGAAAGTAAGCAACTGTAACTAGCAAATATCTGATAATATGGAGATTAGAAACGCATGTACAAACATCTTGATGTCAATTGCATTAAAGATGAAGTTTTCTGCATGAAACTATGTATTTTAATAATGAAATGGAGATCTTTTTTAAAGGTTAAAACCTCATTTAATTTTATGTCATAGGGTTTATACTGAGTACAATATTGTATAACTGTAATAATTCAATTGTAAACCTAAAAATGTACAGCCAATTTTGTAAGAGATGAAGCCTAGCTCAGAAAACTGTTATTGAATATGTCAATGCTGATGTAATGAAATGCTTCTTCTAAGTATGTGGTTATTAAATAAATATTTTTTAAAAAGAGAATGAAAATGAAAACATGAAGCCAATACTTCTTTACTTGTTTAGTAGCAACATAAAGTAATGTGATACCCAACCCTCCTTTACTTATTTAGTAGCAACATAAAAGAATGTGATAGCCAATTATACTTAAAATGTTATAATAAAATAAATTTCTTTAACTAATCAGAGTTCCAGGAAAGTAAAGTTTTTGTAAAAATAAAAATTGGGAACAAATACATTTAGGTATATTAATTAAAATACTAGCTTCTAAATGAATAGGATTAAATCACTTAAAATGGTAATCACTTATGCTTTACCAAAATACTAAGCACAATTAAGTTACCACACATTACCCTTCAATAGTATTTATAAAAATAGATACACATACTGATAAAATTAGTATCTTCCAACTTCATTTGAAATTTTGATTTTATCATTAAGATTTTTCAATTTTGAGAAAGTTCACGTGTGTGTGTGTGTGTGTGTGTGTGTGTGTGTGTGTGTGTGTAGATAGGAGCTGGAAAGAAAAACATCTATTTACAAACATCACCCTAGCTTTGATATTATTGTTTCCAAACATTTAATGTATTTACTTTAAAAATAACTATATGTTTGCCACAGTGAGTATGTGGTGGTGAGAGGAGACCCTTACCCACTGATCCATCTCCCTGATGTTTCCAAACATTTAACAAACTTTAGACTCATTCAGGTATTAAAAAGTTTCTCCAAAGGTAGCCCATTTTGAATCATGGATATTATTTTCTTAATTTTCAACAAATTTTAGATTAAAATGAACTACCCTGATATTATGATGTTTTTAAAGCTATTAGAATATATAGAAATGTGAAATATATAGATCATTACTGAAAGCAATTTTTTGCT